AGAATGTGCATGTATACTTGTAAGGGTGTGTGTAGGATCTCTAGTACTTCATCCTCCCATTGCCATTGCTCTGAACTCACTTCTCTCAAATACCCATCAATTAAAGTTCTTTTTAACAGCACCCTAGGAAGAAATGGCTTCCACATAGCACTGGATTCTAGTATGTCCCTCTGTGTCCTTCCGCCTATTCCACAGTGTAGTCCAATGTAAAAAACCGCCCTCAAGTTCTTTACAATTTAATTCTGGATTCTGCAGGTTGTTCTGCCTTTTGATACTGCTGGAGGGACCTTTGCTTTCAGGCTCTTCTCTTCTTAAGTTTAGCAAGGAAGAGAAAGTCATGGGTGAGGGAAGCAGGGCTATCATGCTCCAACATGTCTAAGCCATATCTGCCTGTGCTGACATGTCAGAGGTGATCGACCAGATCTTTTTCTTTTCCCTAGGCAAACTCCCAGTTCTAGCATGAACTCCTTTGTGATCTGCAAACTACTAGACACTATTCAGTATTGTCAATATGCTGAGAAGTAATCCATTGGTCACTGATAATTCACAACAGGTAGTATTAAGGATACCATACAGAATAGCTAGCATTGATAGGCATGACTCCACTTTTCCAATTCATGGATAGAGGAAGACACTACCCCACCCATTCAAAATTACTTACTGTTTGTAATCAATTTAAGAGCAAAGCAGTATAATACAATACAATACAATACAATACAATAATAATTTAAGAGCAAAGCAGTATAATACATATGTTAGCAAGCTGAGCTAGCAGCACACCCACCCTTCCTGTTTGATTCCCAAGATGCCTATTTTATTAAAACTAAACTGTATCCATACTTCAACTTTAATGCAAATAGAACAATATGATTGCCAATTTATTCAAAGACAGAGAATTTTGTAAATCCCCTGAAACATTCTCATAAGACCATATTATAAAGTACTGTGTATTTGGGTCTGTACGTTTGTACATGCATTTGTGTGATTTTCATAAATTCCCCTCTATCCTCTGCAATATATGTATATTTTAAAAGCTGGCTTCTCACAGTACATAATCATATTGAAAACCAAGGGTATGGTGCCAAAAGGGAACTATAGTGCTGTTATGCTGACAAGTAAAACCCATACAATTATGCTGCATGTGAAATATGGATTTTAAAATAAGAAATAATGACCACTGCGTAACAGGTGGTCAATGTTTTTTCAGCCTCTGTGCACAAAACCCCATTTCCTGTCCAACATCTTGAAGAGATTATTAAAAGGAAAAAATCAGCACACCAAAAGGTGCAATGGGACCTGTATAAATCTGGGTTTTAAAATTTCCTTATTAAAGATCTAAGATAGGAAGACTTGACTCAACAGCCACCAAAACCTCCACTCCCACAAGAATGAATTAAACCCAGGAAATCATTTATATTATTAACAATAGTTTTGTGTTGAGATATAAGCAAAACTGGAACAGCCATTGATTAGAAGAATGGTTGTTCTGTTTTGTGCAGTGATAAAAATTTACTTGTCCAGATTTAATGAATGAATTGGTGGCATTTCAGTACAATAATATCCCTAGATGGTTCACATATAGTTTATATCATACTTCGGATTGCAAGAGTTGTATCGCAGTGCTGGCTTTCCATTCATGGAAGACCCTCTGATATAGCAGATTCTTCCATGAATGGAAGCAGAAGTGAAGCAGGTTTCTTTTTGTTCCCTTCCCTCTCTTCCAGAGGGTTAGGGGAATATTTTGGGAGGTGGGGGGCTGCAGAGGATAGAGGGGAATTTATGAAAATCACTTCCTCCTCCCCTTTAGTTCATAGAAGCTTATGTTGAATCAAAATATTTTCCATAAATGGTTTACAGTCCTGCAAGTTCTAGTACACCTACAAAACAACTCAAATTTCCATTTTGTTCCCTGGCTTCTGAGAATACGTGGGTTTTCAGATAGCTTTCAACCTCCAGGAAAACTTCTCCCACCTGACCATATCTGCCCCTGCATTATCACAGATGATTCTGGGCATGTTCCATGGTGCATGACAAGTTTATATTGAGTGTTGCAAGAGCTATTGGGCCTTATGATTACTCCATGGAAGCTGAGTGTGCATCTGAGAACACAGACTCTCCTGCTACTGTGAATGGCTGAAGACGAACTTTAATGGAGGTCTTTCAGGAAACATTAACAATGTTGATCTTCCCAATGAATCCCCCCCCCATCCCCAATATCGAATTCCCTTTGACGTGTTAAATCCACTGGCTGAGGAAGAGAAAAACAATAACACACTGCCCCACTCAACCATTGCATAAAACAAAACAACCTCACAGCTTAATTGGTATCTTGCTGTAATTCCTTTCTGAACTACTGCTCTGACTTGTGCTGCACTTGGGAAAGGGAGCAATCAGAAAACAGCTGTCCCAGAGGCACAGAGGCTGTACAAAGGGTGAACAACCTATTTCTGGCATATGCAAATTTAGCTTATGTGAAACTGCCCTGAGCACGGCTACAAAATGGCTGCACGTGAATCCTCAGTTTTCAACACCAAGAGAAATCTATTTCTGAACAATCCCAATTGCCAGTAAGAAAATGTGGTGGTGGTAGTGATGATAGTTGTATGGATAGGATAGCTTGCAAGGTGCCAAGAAAGGTGTTGGGTGTGCATTGTTGTCCATAGGCACCATGCTTGTTCTATATTACCACTGGGGCTGGCTGGGGAAGTCATGGCAGCAAAAACTAACATTAGCAGTTGCATTTCCAACAGAAAGCAATACACAGAAGACAGTGCTTCAAGGCTGCCTGCTGTACGTTTATTAAGTAGTGTAAGGTAGTATCCACTGATGGTGCAGGTCAAGTGTTAATGTTGTTGTATAAGCACTAGTTAACACTAATCCAACATTGTTATGCTTGTGCTGTGTCACCATTAGATATTACTCCACTTGTTTTTCCAGTAATAAAATGACCAGATCCTACAAGTCCAGCATACCCACAAGACTGGACATTGTGCAAGATGAATGTTGCTTTAGTAGAAAACGAAGTGTGCAAGCAAGCTAATCAACAGTTGTAATCACAGAGGCACAGAGTTCTGGTCCATTTGCCCTGGCTGCATGTATGCTTTTGACCCTAATTCCAGGTGCTGGTTTTAACCTATAAAGCTTCATATGGTTTGTGACCACAGTACTTGACGGAACTCTTCTCCAAACTACTTGTGTCCACTTGCGCACTATGTGCAGTAACTGAGGCTTTCTTCTGACTGCCATCTCTGAAGGGAGCCTTGGAAAATAGCAACAATGAAAGGGACCTTCTTTGTAGTAGCCCCCCGATTGTGGAATGATCTCCCACCGAAGCCTGCCTTGCTCCACCAATGCTGTCTTATTTTTGGTACCAAGTTAAGACTGCACTCCATTCCCAGGCATTTGAGGGCATATAATGCAGGCATTTATGACACCTGTCTTTTAAAAATGTCTAGTATTTTTCCGAAACTGTGTTTAGTTGCTTGAACTGTTTTAAATGTTGTGTATTGAAATTTTATGTCTTATATTTATGATTTGTGTTTCTGGTTTATACTCTGAGGAGCCGTCCAGAGAGCTTTGTGGCACAGAAATGAATCATTCACCGCTTATGCATGTGTACAGTGGTCAATCTCCCTTGCCATTCCAAGACAGCCCCCGTCTCCCAGCTATCACATCACAAGCCGCTTTTTACTCTGGAGGACTGCAGCAAGGATGGTATTTTAAAAAGCTTCATTGTGCTAAGATCACTCTGTACAGTTCTCTCAATCAAGGCTTACGTCAACATTGCTTCCTTCCTTTGATAATCTGGAAAAAAGCTATACACAGATTCACTTCAATGCCTTGCCTAGAACTGACACTTTTTAAAGATACTGCTAAAGGTACCATTTTAACTGCTATGTAGGGAAAATTAGTTGTGTATATGCCAATACTTCTGAGAAGAAGGTGCATACTGTGTTCAAAACAAGGAGTTATTGTGTTAGCTCATGCCTTATTATCATAATTATAATTATACATTTCTATACTGCCGATAGCTGAACCTCTCTGGGCAGTTTACAACATTTAAATTTAACATGCCTTAGTTACTGCACCAACTGAATAGATAATTTCTTAATTTAATAGAGTTTCAAGGGAGAGTTTTCTCTGATTCTGGTATCAGCCTCATAAAAGCATTTGGGTACATACTCTATAGGCATGCAAAGAACTTTTGAGAAGATGTATGTCAAAGTTAGCCTAGCAGCACTGGAGACTGAAACTGTCAGCACTGGCTGACAGAATTCCAACACCACTGCGCTTTTCAACCAGCCAATGCTGAGACGCTTTGCCATTATTCTAACTTTTGTTTTCATTCTTTATTGTATTTTTATTCCTTTAATATCACACACACACACTTTATACACAATTTGTATGTATAAAGCATTCCATTTTCACCAAGCAAACCCCTAAGGTGCACACGCTGAAGGAATCTTAGATGGCCAAATGATGGGAACTCATTTTCTCCAATTGTAACTAAGATGGATTTTCAATCTCTGTGGGGCACAATAGCCTTGACACAGTGGTTCTTTTGAGAATGAGAAGCTCACAGCCCTTATATTGGTGGAAGGCATGTGTGTGTGGGGGACACACTTAAAGTTAATCTTCCCCGCTCATCCTTACAGAACCTGGAAAGGGAGGGCTGTGATGGAGAGAAGGCAGCAGTGAAAAGAGAGAACACTACAGTCAGGAGAAACGAGAAGCCATGTGTAGTGGAAGGCCCCAGGATGAGGTCTCTCTGTAACCTTCTTAGCCCGACAGGGTTCACACAATTAAAGCCCCCATTTCAAGAGCAACCCACACTCAGCCGTAAGCATGAGTTCTCATATTGTGGAAACTCATTCAGCAGCCTCTGAATTTTAGGGAAAAACACTAATTAGTACGGGATAGCACTGTATATTTATTTCAAAACTGAATGCTTTCTAGGAAAGGTAAAACATTTTCTCCACAAAAGGTAACTCTTTACTTACGGCAAGGAGTATTCCGATAGCTCACAAGTTGTGGAAATGCCATGACAGCAGACATTATCGGTTCATCGCTTTGTTTTGATTCTTCTTCAACCATCTGGTCAGCCCAAACTACAGCCTTCTCTCTGTGAATCAGCTGTTCAAACTCCTTGAAGTCATCCTCAATGGCACCATTTGCTAACCCTGCAATTTTCAAAGTGGTATACTGTTTCCGTAGAACAGGAAGCAGAGCACTTAGTATCCTGTAAGAAAAAGAATGAATCAGAGAAATATAAAAACTTATAAGAGCAACAGGGTGTGCTGGCACTGTGCAAGTTTTAAGGTATAAAATATCATGTGAAATTTTGCCACAGGAAGGTGAGGAAATGGCTGCTGACTTAGATGGTTTCAGAGAGGAATTCAGACAAGTGCATGGAGGATAAGGCAACAGCTAATCATACTACCTCTAGGATGCCAGTTGCTGAGGAGTAACAGTGGGAGAGGGCCATTGCCCTCATGTCCTCTCTGCAGCTCCCCAGCAGTATCTGGTTTATCACTCTAAGAAATGGGATCACAGAAAGCCACTTCCAACTGAGTTGAACACTTAACCCATCTAGGCCCGTATTTTCAATGCAGCCTGGCAGCAGTTCTCTGGAGTTTCAGGCTGGAGTTTTTCCAGCCCTACCTGAAAGATGCCAGGGATCAAACAGGGCTGCATGCGAAACATGTGCTCTGACACTGAGCTGAGAACCTTCCATAGGGCCTGATCCACTAGGATCTTCTTTTGCTGTTTAGTGACAACCCACCAACCCACATTCATTGCCTCAGAGCAGGCTATGTACCTTTTCATCATGCTCACGATTAGTGCCAACAAAACACCTCTCTTTTCTTTCAACACATTTGTTCTTTTTCTCTCTTTGTGTCTTTCTCTCAGATTCCTCCTATGGGAATCTTAAAGCATGCTGTATATTTTTCTTTCCCTCTTCTTAGACATGAATGAGGACAGTCAAACTATCTAGGTATGTGGGTTACACTTGAGAAAAGTGAAGAAATGCTTTTCATCACTTGGTAAACACGTCAATACACATGTGAGTGCATTACAGCGTTTCAGAGTATGCATAGTAACTAATTCATGCCTCACATTAAGCTGCAAAGTCGTACATTAAATGTGTCAGGAAATATATATTTATCCTACTGTCGGGACCATAACTCTGGATTATGCACTGGGAATGGTACTGTTGCCCGGTAGTTGTGTAGTGCTGCTACCTGCATCTCTTTCAGATTTGTGTTAAAAGATCTTGAGGCTCCAAATTCGGAATTTTTAAGTTGTTTCCCAAATGGTTGACTTGGTTTTTGTTGAGTTCAACAACGTGCTGTTGAGTGTTTTCAGGAGCCTCTTTTTGAGAGCTGAAACTTTTCAGCTGCTAATGTACACTGACAACAGGATTCCTTGTACCTTAAAGCAGGATTGCCCAGGTTAGGACGCTCCAAGATGTTCTGGATCACAAATTCCACAAGCCCTGGCCAGTATGGCCAATGGTTAAGGTTGTAGTCCAACACTTCTGGAGGAGCCCAAGTTGGGGAGATGCTTCTTTCTATACTAATCCCAGAATTATTTGTTGCAAGAAACAAGTGTAGTCCAGAAAGCTTGATTACCTTTATATTAAAAGGCAATTGTCTATTTGGAGATAGGTGCCACAAGAAGCACAATGAATGTGTGTTGTGTGTGTGTATTTCTGGAGATGGCTGCAAAACATCTGGACTAGAGCATGAAGGCCTGTCCCTCAGACAGTGATGGTATAGAAACATGATCATTTTTCCAGCCTGCATTTTCAGTATCTTTTCCCCAGTTCAAAAGGTAAGAGGGTAGGTTTTTTTTAAGATACAGTGAGACTACAGATAGACTGTAATTCACAGTACTACAGTTAAAGGACATGCTTTTATGTTCTAAGCTGCGCTTATTTATTTAATTGATGTATCAGCTGTGCCATTAACCATAAGGCTCTCTGGGCAGTTAAAACATAATCAGTACAACAGTACATAAAACAAATAGAAACAATAAAATCAATAAAGATAGTAATCAATAACTAAATAATAATTAATAAAAACAAAATAAGAAAATAAGGATGAAGTGAAATGAAACGCAATGAGAGGGGACACAACATATTAAACCAAATAAGGCAACTATTAAAGTAAAAAATAGACAGGCAAAATTAATTCATAAAATTATAAAATGGCAGGAACAGTTGATAGTATTAAGACCTTGCAGCAAGCTTCCCAAGAGCTAAGCCAGCTATGTATTTTAAAGGTTTAAGAGTTAACTGCAAAGATATTCTGGAAGAGCTAGACTGATACAGGGTGCACATCACTCCAGTGCTGAAAGATTTGTACTGGTGACCAGATGCTACCCAGACCTAATTCCAGGTGCATGTTATGATATATAAAGCCCTAAACAGCTTATGGCCCAGCTACCTGAAGGACCACCTCCTCCCAAATGAATCTGCCCATCCCTTAAGATCAGGTCAGGAGGCCCTTCTGCAAGTACCATCCCTCAGAGAGGTGAGAGGGATGGCAAATAGATGAAGAGCCTTCTTGGTGGCTGCTCCCTGACTTTGGAATAATCTCCCTAGGGATGCCCACCTGGCACCATCTCTATTATTGTTTTGGTACCAGGGTAAAACATTCCTTTTTAATATCTTTTTTAGCAATTGACCCTGCTTGCTTTGTCGTAAGGTTTTAAATTTTGATAATGAAGCTTTATTCTTTATTTTTATATGTACAATATTTTACTTTTTCTTGTAAGCCTCCTTGAGACTTCAGTAATAGGAGGCATATAAATGGAAAAATAAATATTCAGTTAGGTGGAAGAGATGATTGGAAAAGAAAGACTGGCTAGCCAATTATGTTTTCATGTAAAATTATCATGATTGTAATTTCAACACATATCAAAAATAAGCTTTAAATAAATAAGGTGATAAAATATGGCATTTCAACACAGACTTACTTTTCTGTCTGCTTCTTTTGCTGCTCTTGCAGGGATGCTAAAGTCCTCATGTATTCAATCTGAGTTTTCAGGTCCTTAACTTCTAACTTCAAATGACAGCACTGCAGCTCTCTGCTGAGCTCCTTGAAAAGAAATGTGAATTTGACTAAAACTTGCATATGGTCAACCCAGAAATTACATGCCTAAACTACTTTGAAAATAACCATGTAAGCCACCTATGTCTGAACACCGAGCATGGTTCAGAGGCTTATTGGCTGTTACCATACTATAAAAAAGGGTGGGAAAAATAAGTTTAGGTAGAGAGATGAAATCAGAGCTTACTTATCTAGTAGATACGACATCAGGGCATTTCCAGGTGAAACACAACCTGAAAATCCTTAGATCTTTCACCTGATAGTTTGCAGGAACCCCACCTTAAATGTGGGCCTGGGACATACATGGACATGGAAGACTAGAGAAAGGAAGGCTGAGAGAACAGGATAATCAATTCTGTCTGTGTGGAGATGCAAAGAAAATATTTGAGAAGGAGGAAGAGGGGGAAATGGGTCCAGAGATGACCCTGCCAATAGAAGAGTCAGGCCTTGAAAAGTTAAAATTTAGAGTGACAGTAATATGGAAAGGAGAAAAAACCCCAGCATGTTAGCATTTAAAAAGCTTGGCTCTCGTCCTTGGGCTTTGCATTTATTAACCTATTTCTGTATGCCAAGAACTGTTCACTGTCAACAATAACAAGATGTACGAAACAGCATCAGAGATTATTCCATGGTGGAGGTTGTGGGAAAAATCCTACAATCACAAGGACTAATTTAATTGGCATGCTTTATTCTCCTCCCATATTTGTTCCTATGAATCATATGGCGAAAGTCCAACTGTAGTGCATTTGATAGTGCCATGGACTGAAGGGAAACTGCATGCATTCTCTTACTCTCACCAACTTCGTCCCCATCCACCCATCACCTCTATTCATTTTCGCCCATCAAGTTCCTGGTCATGCTCAAAAGTGTAGGAAATGCAATAGCCCTCTTCATCTTCTGCAAGCGAGTAAGGTTCATGGTATATGTTTCTCTCTTCCCCTCCCTTCCACATTCTGTTACTCTTCCCCTCTTCAGACAAGTGTCCATTGAACTGGGGAGAGAAGTGATCTAACGGCCATACAGATGAATGCACGGGGAACTCTGATATTCAAGGAGCAATGCTGCTGAATCCCACACATACACAACTGTATGCATACAGATCTCTTTCTCATGAATGTCCCCAGGAATTATGGCACACAATTCCAGTAGTGGGCAGTGCTGGGCTGTGGGTTCTCAGAAGCCCTCCACACCTTCACTGAATGCACCATGAGCAGAAAGTTGCGAATTAAAACACTAACACACACACTGCAGTTTATAGAGTTCATAACTTATATGAACTTTGCCTGGCTTTAACATTTTAGGTTTTTTCCCAGAAACCAAAGCTAAAGACATTTATCTCAGGAATAGGAAAGATGTTTACCTGAGGAATACAGCCATTTTGACCCAGGAGACGCATTTCGTTTTCTAACCGATGCAACCAATTCGTGTTGTCCTCAAAGCATTTCATCTCTTCCTCTTTTTTCTTCTCCATATGTAAACGGCGGGTTTTAAGTAAAGCAAGCCGGTGCTCATGTTTGCCTGTTGCCTATAATAAGACGAAGTTAACTTTGTAGTACAGGTTTTTAAACTACGGATACAACTTAGTATAGATTTCAGAACTAGTGGACAGAACCACTGTGTTGAAAGCATGGCTACTATTGAAGGCAATCGTCTGGCATCCCTTCCTCCCTGGTAATGCCCTGTAATACATCATCATCACCCTGTGTAACCCAGTTTTCCAATGCTGCTTTCAGGATCAGGGGAAATCAGTCCCCATAGGATTAGCATATTGCTGTTCTTAAAATTTAGGCATTACTAGGGAAGAAGTAGGTTGCTGCATTTGGTGACATGTGCTTTCTGTATCAGGTAATTCAAGTCACAGCCTTCCAATCTACTAGTAAGAGAAATATGTGAAACAGTTTCTTTCACCAGAAACTAGATGGATGGATATATACATGTTCTGTATATGCACCTGACATTCCATCTCTCCAGTCCTGCTGGAGCTAGCATTGGAAAATATGGCCCCAAACCACTCTTTGAACTCAGTGTTCAGGATGCAGTTTGGCTGTTAAGAATGATGGCTTTCCAAAGGGAACACTTTCAGTGCGTGTACACTAGCTGCCCTCATTTCATCTTTTAAAGTGTTTCAAGCTTAAGTTAGGTAACAGAAAATATAGATAGCTAAAGTTAGCTTTTAGGTTCAAAAGGCTACTACTATGCGCAATTAAAAGCAGATGTTGAAAAAAGCTGAAAGAAAGTTGTTCTGCAGCAGGACTCCAAAGATTGTCCTTGATGGTTAACTGCTATTTGAAAGGAGGTTTATATCTACTAGCTACCTGGGCCACTACATCTGTGAAAAGCAATGTACAAACAATATATGATTAAAAATCATTGAAATGTGGAAAGCAGGGGAGACACAGAGAGAGAGAGAGAGAGTAAAAATGGGCAACTAAACCTCAAGCACCCTTTTCTTCCCACTAATGAAGACATGTTATGAAGTTATGGAATGGAGTAACTGCTGAGGTGATAGGGCATAGAAAAACTGCGCATGTCAAGGGTAAGGAAAGGTCAGTTTGGTCAGGGGGCACTTTATATAGGCTCTAGAAACAGAAACAGCAATGCAAAGAAAACTTGGAAAGGTAACTAGAGTAGTGGTTTTCACCCACCAGTCCACGGACCAGCCCCGGTTCATGGGATCTGTGGGGTGGCCACATCCTGGTCGCTGTGGGCTGGTATGGGGGCTGGCTGTGCTCCACCACCTCCTCCTTGGTTGGCCTTGCATTCACAGGGGGTGTGCTGATGACACCGGGGGGGCAGGGAGGGGAGAGAAAGCTCAGTGGGAGCTGACTGGGAGTCCTGCTGGATTTCAATATTTTGTTCTCTTGCTGGCATTTTTTGTTACTCAGTTTCTGGTTGTTATGGAGAATTTTCCTTTTTTTGGTACTGTGTTTGGAAACTAATAACCAGAATACTGCATTACGTGTATGGCGCTTTTTGTTTCTGCCTCAGCAGTTCCCAAGATGGTTTTCCTGTTTTTGCTGGTGCCCAGCTGTGGAAAGGTTGAAAACCAAATGAACTAGAGAGACAATGGATTCTAGGACCAGGATGGTCAAAGGAATAAGGAATAGTGAATTGAGAGACAGAGGTTACTCTGAAGGAAAGATAGCAGTGTAAGCAAGGTCTACAGGGTGGTGGGACCGGAAGGGAACCACCCAAGGATAGGACGAACCAACTGATTTGTGACAACATAAGGGAGTTCATATGAGCCCCTTTGTGTGGTGAATGTCTGTGTGGGAACAGCACTGGTTTGCCTTGTCCCCATCGCTGTATGCACTGGCTCAGCGCACCCACCGTGGGCTCTGCATGTAGTGGATATGAGAAGCAGCCTCATAAATGTGTGCACAGTGGATTTATATAGCTGCTTAGGGGTGTGGGTGGCCCATATGCTGTCATTGGAGGTAGGTGAGGCTGGTCAACCATCCCACATAAACTTGCACGAAGTCCTCTCACACTCAAACAGGCAACAAAGATTTCCATCCGGGCATTGCACCTCTTTCAGCCTAAGGTCAGAGCTCAGTCTCAGGAGCCAGTGGCCAGCAATGCTGAAGGCAAAAGCAAAAGGAGGCAGGGCTGAAGACCAAAAGGGACTGGGCCAACAGTTCAAAATCACCCTCCTTACCACTAGTATCTAAACTTTGAGTCGGTACTTCAGCCTTTTAGAATGGAAACAGGACTGTACAAAATCCAGGAAAGAACCAAATAATTGCCAGTTGAGGGGAAAGGGCAATACCACAGGGCTTGGGTTGGCCTGTGGCTCCACATTCCTGTTTTAAATTAGCACCGTATCAAGAGACCCTGAATAATTGCAGATCACCTGAACTGGATCAACATGACCTTAGATATTGAACTGAACAGCACTGCATAAACATGGCAGAAAGGAAGACGTGTCATAAAAACTTACCTTTTCCAGTCTGTCTGGAGAGCACATCCTTTCAATTTGTTCATGGCAATGTTTTTGATAATGGGTTTTCAGCACGTTTTCCTTAAGTTGTAGTTCCAGCTTGAGAAACTCTTTCCTGATTTCCTCTCGATTTGCGAACACACACTTCAAAATTTCTCTAAACCTGCCCCCAAACATTTATACATATATAAAACACATGGTTACTGAAATGCCACTTAACAGAAAAAAAATTGACAAGAGCCTTACACTGCAGTGGAAAGGTGATTCAATTAAAAAAATATCCAAAGAGGTAAAAACAATAAGCAGTTCATTTGGACATTATGGAGACAAGTACAGAAAGTCCTCACAACTGCAGGAGACTGTAGATTAGGACTATACATTAAAAATCTCAGGCCAGTTTACAAGAAAATTAAATGAACACCAGAACCAGCCAAACAGTACTTAATTTAAAAAATAACATATATTTACATGAACAAACAACAATTAAATAAGTTAATTCCTTAATTGGGCATAAATCTTGGAATTATGTCAGAATTGTGTTCCATACTTCAAAGGTGGTACACTGTAAATACAAATCTTTTAAGAAGCAGTGTGCTTCTCAGGGCTGTTTATTGCAACTTTAATCAAGAGGGCAGGAATTCTGAGGACCAGGGTCCAGATGTACATGCTTAAATCAGCCTTCTCCAGCCCAGTGCTTTCCAGATGTCAGACTATAACTTCCACTGTCCCTAGTCAGTTTCTCTTGGGTTCTCCTTAGAGCATGGGTGGGCAACCCATGTCCCTCCTAGATGCTTTAGCTCACAAAATCAATGATCCCTCCACAATATCCATGTTGACTACTAAGCCTGATGGCAGTTGTAAGCCAAAACATATCTGGAGACTTTATACTTTGGGGTTGCAGTCATCTGTCGCATCCTATCATATGGTTTAACCAAGGAATGCAGTGGTAGATTCAACTGGGGTGGTTTTAAGTGTCAGACACTAAACTGTCTAGTGCATGGGTCCCCAAACTACGACCCGCTGGCCAGATCCAGCCCCCCTTAGAGGTTTTGGCCTCACCATGCATGCAGGGAGGCGGCGGCTTGCTCACGCAGAGATCGTTTTGGACTCGCTCAGAGAAAGTGATCTCCGAGCGAGCACACCGCTGCCTCGTGCGCCCGCTGCTGCCTTGTCACGCGCCCACCCCCACCTCACCCGTGCTCCCCCTGGCCCCCCGTTGAAAAAGGTTGAGGACCCCTGCTCTAGTGCGTACTGAGTGACTCTTGGCCATCCAATTCCATCCTTCAGCTCTTTTTTCTCAGGGGCTTCAGGAAGTTAAAATCACAAACATCTGAAGATCTACTGTCTGCCCATCTCTCACAAAGCATTAAAAAGTGGCACAGGTCACTTATGGTAGTGATAACCTAAATGAAGCAGTGTTCGCTTAAGTGACTTCTGGTGCAATGCCAATAGTGATGGGTTCTTGGAAAATTTGTCACGCCAGCAAACACTGCTCTGGATATGCTATAGCAGGAGTAGACAAACTTTTGGGGGCTGTGGGAACATCTGACTGTCTGAGAAACTACCCAGGGTTCTGCCACAAAATGGCTGTCATGCCAGGCATGGCAAAGGACAAGTAACCTGCCCAACATACTTTAATATAAGGCAGAGCCCTGACAAACAAAACAACTCACTCCTCGGAACCTTTTCAGCAGCCACTTTCAATGATAGAATTAAACTGAAATGTGTCAGTTCTTTCCATTGACATTAATGGGACATAATTAAGGGGTGTGTGTATGTATTTGTGTGCCGAGGGGGTTGGGGGCCTGGATTGTGCATTTGGTACTTTATAAACAGCTCTTTTATAAATAGTTTCTCTTTTTCAATAGTTAAAAAAAATACTTTTTAAGGGGGCTGGACAAGAAGTAGACCATGATCCACCAGTAAGCCACTGGCTAGTTTCTGATAAACCACCATTATATGTTGGGATCTTGCAAGGCTGAAATACTCAGACCTGGATCTAATCTAGTGCAAAATGTTCTTCAGCAAGATTGCATGGTGAGGGTCACTTGTAAAGCCTTATCATCCCATTTGTTGATAAAAAAAAAGGTTAATAACAAACAAGCAAGGGATGTGGGATAAGTAAGGTGCCTTGAAAGGTACTAAGAAAGGTGTTAGTAGGGGGAACTGGTGTGCATGGGTATCCCACCGCCTATCCCTACACTGGAACAATGTAATTTTCATAAACAGTAGTGTTGGGACTGGATACTTCCTAGATATTTTATTTTATACCTCTAAGAAGTTATCAACACAGGCTCTAAATTATTAGAACTAAAGATTTTATATACATTAATTGTTGTGCCTTCTTTGACTGCTTTTAGCATAAAGGCTAACAATTCTTTAATTGGAGTATTAAAATTCTGGTTACCATGGGAAAGTTTTATTGTAAAAACTGTGATGGTTCACACAGTAATTAGTCCCTATGATCCTCTCCTTGGGTTCACTTCTATATATGGAAGTATTGCAGACCCAATTTAACCATCCCAGCAATATAAGAAACGTAAAATTACTTAATGTGTTTATTATACAGCAAAAGGTGATAAAAAGTTGTCCCACTGTATACACAGTTTTGCTTAACAAGTTTTCCCAGCTTATTTTTTAAATCTTTATGCCAGTAGTCATTGATCCTCTCTTTTAATAGTAGAAGCATGTGTACGCCCACCCCAGAGCAGTATTTTTAAATTCGTATTTTAACTCTCATTATAACTGAACTAATAAAACTGAGCTGCCAAAATGTGCTCTGACATCACATCTAGGGACTCAAGTTCCCACGCTTATCATCTCGTTGCATGAAACAAGCCCCCACATTTTCGCTAGCCAGAGCTTCCTGGCTCCTGCTTAGAAAACTGCAGAGCTAGAAACTGCCAAGAAGTGTTCACCTTTTTGCCCATAAATGTGCATGTCTAACAGCTGCACTTTTAACCCTTCTATGCCCTTTGGGATTGCTTTAGAAACCTAAAATATAAATTAGGAGTCTCACTAGCCACTCATCCGACCTAACTACAGCTATCTACCCACTCATCTGCATTCTAGAAATTGAGGACAGAATTCAATGAGGCACTTAGGGTCCATGCCTACAAATCCTGTTGCACAACTTGCTCATCTTCAATTTTGCACTTCCAAAATGAACAGCAAAACAAAGGACAGCAGAATACAAATAGAAGCATCCATTAAAACTCATTTCCAGTGGTGCTTGAATACATGTAAAGTACAAAAGCCTTTCTGAAAAAGGTCTTAACAGCATGATAAAATATCAATAAAATGGGGACATCCCAGAGGAAGGCTTCTAGAACCTGAGCACAGCCACTGGGAAGGTCTTCTCTCCCTGACATCAAACATATAAACTTCTGGGGACAGACAGCCAGGCAAAAGAACTACTGTAGATGGTCTTATTAAGTGGGCGGTTTATATAGGAAAAGACTGCCCACCTGGCCCCAAACACTAAGTGACCACCATTTTGAACTGGCCTTCAGAAGTCATGGCAGTTGTTTCAGTGGCAGTCACATGCTTTCACTAAAAGGACCTTGATAACAGTCTGGACTGCTTGAAGATCCTGAATGCTCTTCAAAGGCAGTCACATGAGTGCCTAACAACAGGGCAGATGTGGATCACTATGGTCGGATTGCCAACATACTGGAAAGTCCCACCAAACATACATCTATGAAATGCGCTCCCTGGAGAGGTCCGCCTGGAGCCGTCATTATATGTTTTTCAGCGCCAGGTTAAGACCTTTTTATTTCATCAATTATTTTAATAAGCTTTAATATTGTATTTTTAATATTATATTTTTAACTGCAGCCAGAGTGGGTCAATTTGTTTATGTTGATTTTTATGTTGATATTGTTATAATTTATGTATATTGATATTTGTATTTTATTTGTGTAAGCTGTCCTGAGGCTTTTGCAATAGGATGGCATATAAATAACAAACAAACAAATAAATCTGGTCACATCTATCCTAGGCTTAAGAATAATCTCATATTATCCATTTTCATCAAAAGGAAAGCTAGCCCATTGAACACAGGCGAATTTCCATCCATGGGTCAGCAATGGTAGTGTTTTAGGGATCTGAAGACATAGGAGGCTACCATATACTGAGTCAGAACACAGGTCCATCTAGCCAGGTAGTATCAACATTGACCAGAAGAGGCTTTCCATGGATGAGATTCTTTCCTAGCCTGGGATCAAACCCTGGATCTTCTGCAAGCAAAGCATTTTTTCCCATAATACCATCACATTGGTCAACAAGAGTAAGGCTATATTGTATACACATTGGAAGGATCACCATCCTCACCCCTACATTATGGAATACTTCTTTACTCATAATTGCAGGCACCACTTGTGTATGGGAGTCAGTCACCATAAGACATAAAGGAGTTGCATCTTAACTCCATTAACCACAAGCCTTACTACAACTACTGCTAGCTACAAGTCTTAGGCACTTGGTGTGTGCAAGCCCTGGGGAGTAGCAGGAAACTGGACAGCAATACGAGCAGATGGATGGGGACAGCCAAACACATCATAGCATGCTGGTTGGGAACAAGAGGAAAGGACCTAAGGGTACAAACATGGACACTTTTAAGCTGGAAAGACGTCCTGCAATTTCAAGCATTTCCCACCCAAGACAGCATAAGAAGTTTTTACCTTGGTATCTCCACCTGTTGTTCCTTTGTAAGCACAGCTGTGTCGGGATTGCTGGGAACAGACAATTTTTCTGACTCATAGACTCTCAATTTCTCTTTCAGCATTAGGATCTGAAACAACATGACACTTTTTATTATGAACAGGGGGAAATTTGGTTTGTATCCCATTTTTACTGTCCTGCTTCTATCTTAGAACAGCTTCTTCTTTAAGAAAATAAAACAGCACACTTATTATCTAAATGAAATGTCATTAGTTAAAATGACAATGAAACATCCAGCTGTTTGGAAATTTGGCAAACAAATTACTTTGTGCAGAGCAATTAACATTTGCACTGAGCTACATTGTCATTCTTTGTGAATCCATCAGAACATTAACTATCAGCTACAGCCAATGACATACCTCTTTCTTTTGTTCTTCACAAATCTTAACATATTGACTTATATGGCTGTCCAGACTCACAACGTTGCTCTTCAGCTGTGATGGAATAAGAAAGGTTAGCTTCAGACAAGTTGTGACAAAGTATATCTTCCTCTTTGTTACAATAATTCCTCTTTAAATAATCCTATTAGGCACTACTTGCCAGAACAGTTCTAACTGAACCTAGGAAAAGACAGTTACTGGCATCCAAGTTTGCATGCATGCTCAGGGCTTCATCTAGTTCTTCCTCTTGGCTGCAGCCTTCCTCCCATTGCCCTTAAAAAGTCTCTTTTTGGGTTTGGGAGACTCTCTGGAAAGAGGCAAGCAGTGTGGAAGGAGAATGCAGTTGCAGTAGGGTGACAATCAAGTGGAGATGCAGAGAATCAAGTAATTTTTTCTTCTTCATAACAATGCCAAGAGAGGTTGGGGTTGGAGGAAGGACAGAAGCAAAGGAAATTCCAAAAGTTTCGTGCATTTCAAACAAACTGTGTTATTTCTGTCTTATGAGTACTACAATAACTCTTTGCAAATATAAAGTAAAAAAACAAAAGAGAATATCATAGTTTGCCTACAATTATCTCTGCAGCTATAATTAAAAATACACATTCACGATTTTATAATTTTCTTTTCTTTGAAAAGAGGAAGTTTACTTACAGAAGATTTTATGTCCTTGGCTCGGTTGGCATATTTAAGTGTGTTATATGTGTCATCGTAGAAGAGAGAAGAAGGACTAATGGCAGCTATAATTATAGTACGGCAATTTCCTCCCAGAGAATCCTTCAATAAACGAGTAAGCTTGCTGTTCCGATAAGGAATATGCTGTTTCTTACTCTAGAAGAAAACCAGAAGCAGGGGAAAGGCACCCAGACAATCAAGATGTTTAATGTACTGTAGAGACTACTAGACTTGACCTGCTGTGAACAGCTGTTTCACACTACACATCAGTGACAGATGATAAAATCTGAGAAACTTTTGCTTCCATTAGTAGGCTTCTGGCAACACTTAGCCTATCTTCAATGTGTCCTGTTCCAATCTTTGCTTTCCAGTAAATTAGAGGATACCAATTTCCACTAATTCTTAAACTGAGGACTGGATTGAAACTGCAGCTTTGCAACTACTTCTGCACACCTACAGATTTGTCTCCTTTTCCCTTCACATACAAGGAGTGAATAGAAGACGTCCCTTCCCAAATTCAGCAGTAGTTCATACTCCCAGCTTGTGCAAAGCTGTTCTGATTCTTGGAAGAATCAGAGAAGGGATACCCAAAGGGAAACCATCAATGGACAAAACAGTTATCCTACAAGCATTTACTTCTTTTATGTATTGCAAAATGTTGGACATGATTCATGGCAACTTTGCAGAACCTGCTACTCCTAATTACATCTGTGTTTTAATGGTACAGATGTCTGTGTAAAACCTGATGAGTTCAAAACATAAACATTACAATCACTGGAGACATACAGGTGGATCTTGCTGCTGTCTGCCTGCTGAGGAGCAGAACTATAAGGTGGTTAAGGCAAGATTAAATGTCTCAAAGCATGCAGTGGGGAAGCAACCAAGGATCACAGTACTGCTGCTTGCATGTGATTAGATGCAGTTGCTCTTGATTGCCTGTATAAAGTCTTTAGAGAGACTTTACTTGCCCCTCAGATTTACTGTCTTTCAGTGAGTCACAGAATCATAGATTTGGAATTCATCTCGTCTGTCTGGATGCATTCACAGTATACCTGAAAGATGATCATGCAACTTCTACTTAATTATCTACAGAGGAGAGCCAAACTTCTCCCACTGTATTTCCCATCCAATCAATGCAGGAGGTCGGCTTAATTCAGGAAACCAGGAATCATAATATTTGGAGGTTTTTAACAAGAAGGTGAAAAAGTGTTTTTCATTTAACTGGCTACTGCCCAGGAGTCTGCCCCATCGCAATGATCTAGTTAAGGAAAAAGGCTAGTCTGTTTAAACTTTGTCAAACTGCAGACACAGCAATGTTGATATGTGTTCTCAGAAGTGGCCTGCTCACCCATGTGCTGTAGGGATCAGATTACCTATTTAACCTGATAAAAGAAGCTGATTAGCTCCACTGTGACTCCTACTCAACAGTTCAACTTTAGTCCCATGTTAATATGGTCAGTTTTCTCACAGACAGAGTAATCCTTATGATTAAAATTATACATGAATAGTAAATATATTTAAAAGATGTAAGTACTTGGTGAACTGAGCTGCCTTGGGGCCTTAGCAATAAAGTTTTATAAGCAAATAGTTATATTTTATTTATTTATTTACCACATTTGTGTGCCACCCAGACTCAACACTCTAATAAAAAGTTAATGCAGAGCAGTGAAGTAAGATGACGGATGCCTGGTTCAAATACCTTCCATATTCACACTGGATGTTTATAATCTTTATGATACAACTAAATTGTTCAGGATTATTATCCATGACAGCTGTATGTCTGTTTAGTGAGTACATGGGCACAGACAAAATTTGTACTGGGGACCATCCAGTCTGTAACTCTTTCATATGAGACAATAAGAACAGCTTGTGTGGATGAGACCAGTGGTCTATCCAGTCTAGCACTCCATGTGCACAAGTGGCAAACCATACCCAGGATCCCTCAAGCAGGCTGGGTACAAAAGCTGCCTGGCAAAGTTCCTCAGCAACTGACCTCTGCAGGCGTGTTGCCTCTGATAATGGGGGTACCACACAGCTAAAAGGGAATCTCATGACCCCCATCACCCACTGCCCATGTGTGGAATGAACTTAGGTGGCACTGAGGTACATTGAATGGCCACACATCCATTCACACAAGGTGAAGCCATGCCTGGGCCAGGTCCTCCATAAAGTAAGGAAGACTTGCATGTGTATACAACCCTCTCCCATACTAGCCAAATTCACAGACAGCTAGGAAGCATTTATGCGATTGGAAGCACTCAACAGCAAGGGTTGTGGCTGGAGTGGGAGTAGGCTGTGATTCTTCTCCCATGTTCTTGGCATATATGCGGCATTGCTGAGCTTCCCTTTAGCCACCATACCATACTAGCTGTTTCATTTCATTTCAATACCATCCAATAGCCAAAAGGCTCTCTGGGCAGTTCAGAAAGCTCTTTCCCACTGTGGATTAAAAAGCGACAAGAGCAATTCAACATTCTGCTTGAGATAATGAAACAACCCTAATTTATGATCACTGGATAGAAAAGGAATCCTACAATTCCATTATTAATCCCCCCCGCCCCCCGCAATACATAGCAGGGGATAAGCCTCGCCTGGAGACACTGGGACTTGGTTTCCAGGAAATAACAGGGGATAAGTGTGGCACATCTCATATTGAGCAATGAGAAACCTGACTGAAAAGTACTGGAGAACTGGAAGTAAATAGTACTTACCTTTGGGTCTGCCAGGGCATTAATGACATTGCCAAGAGCTAGCAGAGAGCGATTAATATTTGCTCCCTCTCTGAAGCGAGCTCCTTTAGCCTTTGTTGTGCTTACACGCTCCGATCCTGCCAGGTCAATGAGACACATTTTGGCAATTCGGACATTTTGATTGATACTTGCAGTCTTATCTTGTTGCCTTAAATAAATCTGTAAGAGACATGTAGAATCAAGAGCATGAAAATGAAGCAAAGATCCAGGAAAAAGAATTACACGCTCCACCATATATACAAATTTAGGGGGCCAATTTTACCTATTCTCAAACTCAGGAAGTACATTAATGTAAGCTTTCCATAGGACACATTTTCTTGAACAGTCATATACAGAGTATACCATCTGAGTGTGTACATAGGATTAAAATAGAGTCCCTTTTCTCATGTCTTGACTCAGAAGTTTAGTCAGAAGAAAGCTAGACTGATTTCACTTGGATTTTTTCTTTGGTTACTGTTAAGTGTGCACAAAATAACCCCTTTTATGGAAACACTCCTGTGCAAGCTGATCTGAGAATAAGCCCATTTGACTCGATTCAACTTATATCTACATAAATATGCATCACATCAGGCTGTTAAAACACCAGCCCAAAAAATCTAATAAGAGTTTTCAAATTAAATTAACATAAAATAAAATGAAAATTAGCATAAGAAAATATGCTTGAAAAATAGTGGTAAATATGTAAGAGCAGGAAGCACATTTGTTTCTCACAAGCAGCTTTGACACCTCAATAGATTACTCCTCTGAAGTCTAATGACATCACAGACCAAAAGAGCTCTTCTCCTGAATGCTATTTAACACAAAGGATTTAAAGCAGACAAGACTGAGAGCAGAATCTCTCTTCCCAAGACCAAAGCTATTATGGCTGGAGTGCCATAATCGGAGGGTACTCTCTCTTTCCCTCTTTCTCTTAAACAAAGCTTCAAAGGTTATCTAAGATCCTCAGACATCTTATCTGCCATATCACCTTACCTGAAAGACAGCATGGGACCGGGATGAGGAGGCATTCACATCAGTGGGATGTTGTGTTCTGTTTTTGTTTCCATAATCCAACATTTGCAAGATTTCGTCTGCAGATTTGGGCTACAAAAGATTGAGAGAGAGAGAGCCAACTAAGATTAGTAAATCTTTGTTAGATTTTAATCAGGGAGTTTCATTGTCACAGGGTTTAGTAATAACCTTAACATTGCAACTTCGGCTTTTATTGTCATCTTGGTCCCAGAGGATGAGACACACAAAGCAAGAAAGATGATACCTTTGATCAAACCAGCTTCTGTTTGTGCACACAAACTTCAGCACCTGTCCAAAGATTATTTCAAGATTAACTTGCTCAATGTTGCTAAAAGATCTTGGTCAGAAAAATAGGTTTTACTGATTCCAAAATAATTTGTCTGTTCTGAGCAAGCTGAGCAAGCTGAGTAGGTGGTAATGCCAGTGAAAAGTATACCTAAAATTAATTTTAAAGCAGTCGAAAAAGACAAGTATTCACAGCCACAGAACTGGATATGTAAAGAAAAAAATCATACATAAAGTTCAAGGCTGAGAACACTGATTGAATCCATTTATAGCAAGTTTTCTGCCAGGAAAAAAATTCCCATACAACCTTCTTTGCAAGCTAATATCTTCGTTTCCTCAGCATCTAACAGCAGGTTCCATGTCAAGATGTACAGAAAATCTCTATCAATTCAGATATCTGAAGTGAAGCTTTTACATTTATTTATACATCAATCATCACATTTCAGCTCAAAAAGGACCCAGAAGATAACTTGCAGTTAAAAACAGCAAGAATATAAAAACTGTAAAAATTGTTTAATTTTAAAAACAGTTTGCAATCAATTTTTAAAAATAGTAAAATAACACCAACAGCAGAAATTGAGATAAGAGAAACTTGAAAAAAGTATAGAGCTATGAGATTTATGGGACAACCCTATAAGTCTGATGGAATTCAATGGAGTTTAACTCCCAGATGAGGGGTATGGGATTGCAGCCCGAAATTACATTCCAATAGATATTTACTTGGAACTTAATGGATTTTATTTCTGAGTAACATTAATAGGATTGCACTGTTAAAATACTGGAGCAAAAAGGTGTTCACATCTGGCCTAAACCTGAACAAAATATTATCCAGTATTCATCAGGAAGCTGGAGAAAAACATTTGCAGACCCTTTATTATAAAGTTGGGGAGGGTATGAATACTTTCTTTCCAGTTGGCATGATATCATCACCTCCCCATTAGGTTGATTCCCCATCATTCTTTGTGCCACCTTGAAGCTTCTAGATCAGCCTCTCTCAATTGGGTATCCTCCAGATGTTTTGGACTATAACTCCCAGCATTCCTGACTGTGGGCCATGCCGGCTGGGTCTGCTCAAAGCCGGAGTCCAAAATATCTGGAAGGCAGGGAGATAAGATCATAAGAAAAGCTATAGATGGATCTTTAGTATGATCCAGCAGTCCAGTACTCCGTACATACAGCGGTAAACTAGCTGCCCACAGGACTGATCATCAAGATGAGTGAAAGATCTCCACCTGCCCAAGCTCCTCAACAACAACGTCTCCTTCTCCACCTTCTCCACACCATGCATTATTTTAAAGACCTCTATCATGTCTCCTCTTAATCACCTTTTTTGAAGCTAAACAGTCCCAATTGTTATAGCTGCTCCTAATACAGAAGTTGTTCTAGCCCCGTGATTATTTTATTTGTCCTTTTCTGTACTCAGTTATGTTCTTTTTCAGGTAAGTGACCAGAACTGAACACAATGGTCTAAGGGTGGTTGTACCAAAGATTTGTATATGGGGAGTAAGAGCTTGGCAGTTCTATTTTCTATTCCATTCCTAATTATGCCTAGCATGCAGCTTTCACAGCAGATGAGCAAAAGGCCAATTTTTTTATAGAGCTATTCACCATTACCCCAAGAATCCTTTCTTGCATCATCACTGCTAGTTCATCAGTGTATACGTGAAGTTGAGATTTTTTTGCCCCAGTCTGCATTACTCTAAACTTGCTTTGTCTTTGCCATTGTGATGCCCATTCTCCCAGCTTGGAGTGATCCCCTCTGGAGCTCCTTACAATCCCTTTGGGTTTCAGTCACCCTAAACAGTTTGGTATCATCAGCAAACTTGGCCACTTCACTGCTTACTCCTACTTCAAGGTCATATATGAATGGGTTGGAAAGCACTGGCCCTAGAACAGAACACTGCAGGACTCCACTGGTCACATCCCTCCATTGAGAGAAATTGCCGTTTATTCCCACTCTGTCTTCTGTTCTTTAACAAGTCAGAGGACCCCCTCCTTTATTCCATGATAGCTTAGTTTCCTCAGGAGCTTTTTGGTGAGGGACTTTATCAAAGGCCTTTTGGAAGTCCAAGTAAACAATGTCTACTGGGTTGTCCTTGCCTACATGCTTATCTCAAAAAACTCCAGTAGGTTAGCAAGACAGGACTTCTCCTTGCAGAAGCCATGTTGATTCCCACTTTCTGCAGTCCCAACCCTGCCTGATTCCAGAATGGTTCTACGTGGACTGAACATGCTTGTTGTCAAACTGAAGGTATGGATGGATGAAAATCCTTTGGAAAGGAGTGGAAAAGAACATGAGTGAGTGAGCGTGCAAGCACATACAGAAGCAAATGAGATCTGGCCTTACCCAGTCTTCTAATAGCCTATAGGGTGCAATATGGAATACACATTCTACAACCCTATTCTCTCCTTCAGACCAGCATCCTATATAAACTTTTAAGGGCTCTGAGCCTCTTTGAAGCTAAAGAAGGCTAGAGTATGAGGATTAATTAGGATCAGAGGGAAAGCTCTTCCATTGATCCTAATTAAAGTAACTTTTTTCAACTGCCAAGTGGACAAAACCAAACTTAAAAGCATCTGGGATGTTGGAGAAAACACTTGGATATGAAGCAAATGTCCTTGGCCCCAACTCCCCCCCCCCAAAAAAAAAGCATTGGAAGAAAAAAATGCCCCCCTATGGGTAACACCCTCTACATACATACCCGGATATTGGGCTGGATGAGCAAAGCGGCTGTAGATCACTGAAGTTCAGAGCCAGGCAAGCAGTAGCTACACATCTAGCTACCAAACTCAGGCTATTGCACTTCCATTTACAGTGGTACCTTGGCTCACGAACTTAATCCATTCCGGGACTCTGGTTGTGACCCAAATTGGTCGTGACCCATCAAATTTCCCCATAAGGGTCAATGTAAATAAGGTTAATCCATTCTGCAACTATTTTTTTTACTCACAAAAATTTGAAGCAAAATGACAAAGAACAACAAAGATCGTAGCTATCTCCCCCCCAAAAGTGATTGTGTGGGGGGGTGGGGAAAGGTGGGTGCGATCGCGGGTGCGCTGGGAGGGAGGCGGGCGCGTTCGGGCAAGGAACATGGGCACAATCGCGCCCATCTCCCCGCAGCACGAACGCAGCCATCTTCCCCCCACCAACATGACCGCAATTGCGCCTGTGCAGGGAAAATAGGCGTGCTCGCAATCGTCACCCGATGCAGAGTTCACAACCTGAGGCAAAATGTTTATGAAATTTCTGTTTGTGACCCGTTTTGGTCATGAACTGAGGCGTTTGTGAGTCGAGGTACCACTGAATTTACCCCAATATCGAACAGCCCCCACTTTCTCCAGTCCAATATATGTTGGCTGCCATTTGGGCAAGGATCATGTCACTTTACTTTTTGCTCCAGCGCATTACCCAGCAGCAGCAGACTCATCAGCTGCTGGCATTATTGGAGCTCAGATTGCTGTACAGAATCGAAACAGCGGCATAAACAGAGCAGGGGATTGCCTGGAAGGAGGTTTCCCCATTCCTGGAACTCTTAATGAGCCACCTGCCAGATACCCTCTAAGTCAGGATGCACCACTGGGGTGGCGGCGGCAGAAACAGATGCTGCAGGAAGGCAGAGCATAGGGAAAGAAGTGAGGGACGGATCCCAAGTGTGTGTGCAGGAGAGGTAGGCTTTCTATTGAAAACATGAGAAATCAGATACAATTTTGTCAATGGGATGTTATCTTGTGTCTGGCTGAAAACTACAAGCCTGGGCTACTCTGCCCAAAATAATCATTTCAGTGTTGACAGCTCAACTTTGGAGCTCATGGTTCAAGAGCACTGCCAAACAACTTAGTTCTGTTCTTGTTTTGTGATTTGGTTTTGTTGTTTTGGCTTTAAACATTAATTTCATAGCAACTACCTTTGCTAAGGAACAACTTGAAAACTGGTCCATATTTAATCAGTATGTCAAGAGTCTTGAGAAGGTACTATTGCTTCTTACATAGCAATTCCCTACATTTCTACTGATGAGTAGGGAAGGTAAGTCCCATTAAGTTAATGGGGATTATTCTGTTATAGGAGGGTGGGCAATTTCTAGCAGTCAATTTCATTTCCTTCCCTGGTCTATCCTCTACCACATTTGCTGGCAAAGACTGCAGCCATCTTGCAACCATCATTTAGTGGTATTATAAAAGGTGTGTGTGTGTGGGGGGGCTGGTTAGCTTTATTTTAAAGCTACATGGACCTTCTTTGCTGCTGTTCTATTAATATTGCTATAAGCATTGCCACCCATTTTGGCGGGGGGGCAGGTAGGACTGAAACCTCATTTCCCTTCCCCTGAGAGCTCAGTTCTGATTCCCCACTCCTCCCAGTAAGACTCCTTAAGAGTAGAGACTAACATTGTTTTACTGCCTTTTGTGAGCTATCCCGAGAGCATTGCTAATACAAAGTGTGTACAACAAATAATTGAATAAACAAATTCTCAATTGAGGCACAATGTGGATAATTCGGATATAAAAAGATGTATACCTGATGTAGTGTTAACCCATGAACCAGTACTCCTTTCTGAGGATCTTCTCGAACAGCCAGTGGTCCTGAACTTACTAGTAAGTCACGTATCTGTTCATTGTAGACCTTAGAAACCAAGGGGAAATCATCATAAAATGAAAGATCGCTAGATATCTAGTATCCAGAATTGATCCGATGTAAAAGAAGGATAATACATAGGGTCGTATTAGGTGTTAGTCTAACATCCTGTTTGTTTCAGTAAATCTACTAACTTTGGATATAACCAATGTATAATACAGCATGCAACCCTGGTTTTTCCCCGCATTTAAACATTCATTTTAAGGTTCCAACCTCTTTCCCCCATATATCCAAATCATTGTAATGGAATGAAGGAAGATGCTTGGCAATTTGACAACCAGAATCCACCAATGAAGCAGAAAGGCCAGGGGGACCTCACGAACTCAACTATACACGCTGTCATTCAGCCCAATCGTATGCAAGTTTACAGAAGTGGAAGTATGCCCTGTAAAGGCAATCCTATACAAACTGGCAGCAAAGGCCTGACTCCTCAGAAGGCATGCATAGTATTGTTCTAGGTACTGCAGACTGTTTTGTACCCACTGCAAATTAAAGTATTTATATATATAGTTAGATGCAATCTAAATCTAATCAAATTTTAAACAATGAGTCTCTTCACACATAACAGCACTTCACCTATTTAAAGAATCAATGTGTTGCTGTACATGAGCAGGCATGTTGTTTCCACACTTGGTTCACAAATGACGAGAGGCAGACACAGTACTGTGATCTATGGTTAATCCAACAGCAAACCATGTGTTAATCACTGCATTGTTTAGTCTCTGATCAACAGTAATCTGCATTCTGACAATACCTTCCACAAAAGAGCCAACCGTGTGCTGTATCATAATAATGGAAATGCTGAGTACACACCTGTTTTTCCTGCCAACCTCCTTGGAATTTAATCCAGTAGATTGTTGTTACATGCTAACCAGGGCCATGTATATGTCCTGCTCCAGGAACTGAAAAATCAGTTTCTTTTCAAATAAAGAGGGTTCATTTGTTTTTGTGCATCTTTCTGTTCCTTTATGCTAACATTAGATAGTGGAATCATTTTAGTCAGTACCGTCTGTCTGGGTAATGCAGCATATTGTATTAATTCTTCTGTCTAAATATGTCTAGGCTTGTACCTTTGCTTAAGGATATTTGGGATAACAATGTCATTCTCTTTTATTAGAACACCATGACCCCATTCCCACAGTCATACATTGATGTAGAGCTGCTTCTAGGCAAAAAGGAAGAGAGGTTGTCATCTGGCTAAGAAAGACCCTCATGGTTTTGATGGAGCACCTCTCCTGACCATAATTGAGCAGGATACCTCAAACAACATTTTAGGCCTTCTTCCAAAAGGAGGCTCAGAGAGAAGCAACTATGGAGAGGACCTCCTCATCGGTGGCTCCCCAATTATGGAATGATCTCACCGAGGCCTGCCTGGAACCAACTCTCTCATTTTTTCAGCATCCAGTCAAGACTGTCCTCTTCTCCAAGGCATTACATTGGTTTTGAATTATGTGTATTTGAAAAATGTTATGACGTGGTCCATTTATTTATGAACTACCCAGGAAACTTTGGCTGCTAGGCAATATAAAAATGAAATGAATGAATAAAAATAATCAGCCTTAACCATGCGATAGGAATACTCTTGTGTACTCCTGAGCAGCAAGGGAAAGCATCTCTCATGCTTCTGCACTGTCATGCTATTGGCTTGGTCCCAGTCCTTCATAATTTGCATTTGAAAGAACTTTAATTATGCAAAATTCTTCTAGCCACTTACCTCAAGGTATGAAACTGCAATAGCACAATGCTTCTCCTCTTTCATCCGATCAATGGCATTGTAAAGCTCCATCATGGTCAGGTACATCACCCCAGGATCCTCCGAGGTGCCCAGCATTGTATGAGTCTTGCCTGCTCCAGTTGCACCATATGCAAGCACTACATGGTGAGGTCGGGGTGGAAAAGGATAAAGCTGAGTAGCACATCATTACAGAAGCTCAGCATCTGAAACAAGGAAGCCTGGCTACTCATGAGTGTTGAGAGGCCTTTTGCCAAAAAAAAGGGGGAGCCGGGAAAAACAAAACTTATACAACCAAGTTAACAAATCTGAAATTTTACCCACTGCACAGCAGCAAGCATGAAGTGGATGCAATTTGGTTGCAATGCACCACTATTTCCCCCTTAGAGAGAGCAGCTACTCAGGTTAGAAACATCTAGAGCCAGAACTGCTGGGAAGGAACAGTGAGGATAGCTCTTATGCTCTTCACTAATGTCAAGCCTGCAGATAAGATATAGGAAGCTTTAACTTTAATTTGTAAGATGAGAGAACTTAGCGTATGCTAAGCATCAGCCATAAGACCAAACCAAAAGCTGCAAAGCTCAATTTGTTCTGCAGTACAATATCAGTAACAACAACATCAAAATGTTAAGACTTGTACATACATTACTACAGGCTTCAGCACAGGGTACAAGACAGAGTATTCTTTTTTGTCCAAGTACGAGAGTTTTCTTGAAATATCATGTGGTTGTTAACACAGGATCATTTTCATAGCCAATGAAAGGACATCACTGAGGAACATTACCTGTGCAATTATATCCATTTAAAAAGCCATCCAACACAAGTTTAGTAGTATCTTCATATACTTCCAGCTGTGAAGAATTTTCATCAAATACAGCATCAAACACAAACTTCAGATCCTTGTTTTGCCTTTTGGTAATATCACGGTAGGGAAGTTTCTTTCCATGAAAAAAACTGACTTCCTCCACTTTGGGATCAAAGACCAATATATGCTTATCAACAACCTGGATCACTTTGCTGAAGTTGCCATCTCTCTCTTTTTGACTCTCTGGGCGGACACGGATGACTACTTTCACATGACTGCAGACATCTTCTTGAATGGTAGCAGACATAGTGAAGCGGACTTAGGTTTTCTGTAGAGAACTTCTCATCTAAAGTAAATGCAGGTACTTCTAATGGTGGAATAGGAAATTAAAATGACTTAAACATTGTCAAAAGCTGCAGTTGTGCACTCATTTACCCACATGTAAACCCCAAAACTACAACTTCTGAATACACACACACAGTATTGTGTTGTAAAACAAGCAAACAAATCTAAACACTCTGGTCAAATTTTTAGTGTGGTAATTTGTACTGTTGTAAAATGTAAGATTATGCCACTTTAAAAGCCCATAAGCTGACTATTACAAAACACTTTGATTTTTGAACCTCATTACTGTACCCTGTTATAATTGTACCCTGTTATTACATGGGTACAATTGCTGTTTTCATTTTACAAGCTCTGGTGTCTTTTCAACTCCCCTACCACTTGTGTGTCAATGGCCTCTGTCATTTTAATGGCCAAATGACCCAAAAATTGCAGTTTCACTTGCTCACTTCAGTGGGATTGCCACAAGTGCCAGTACTCTTGAAGTTTAGTGAAGTAGCTTTACCAGTATTCCAACTAGACAGAAGAATTCTGTCAAAACAAATATTGTACAACGCTGTCCCAGCACAGTTCTTTCAATGTTATATTGGTTCTCAAAAAGATTTTCTACAGGTGGTCGTAACTAATTTATGTTATGATCTTGGATGTAATTTGTTACAGTGCAATCCTAAGCACATGTATTTAGATGTTCTATTAAATGGAGTAGGGATTACTTGCAGGAGAGAAATACAATCTGACAAATCTAGTAGCTAAAATTTAGGCTTGCTCACATTTGTTTCAAGCAGCAGTTTTATATGAACCAGGGGGAATTAGGGCTTCCCTCACCCTTTACACAAATAACAATGTCAATGCAGATATGGCACACAATGTGAGGAATAAAGTCTGTTCTCATGAGCCAGCCCTTCAGTTCTCACTTTTCTCCTACCAATCTTCCCAGGCAGCACTGGTCAGTGACAAATTGTTGTCTTCGTGAATACAGGATGGTAACAACCACCAGTTCAGTTATTAACATGTAGAATCTTAAGAATATAACAAAATGGAGGCAAAGCCATAAACACTTATGCCATAATAGACACCTTTGGGGGCATGTGGACATACTTGGCCAAAAAAATATTCAGTACACAGCCTGAAACTGCCCACCACGTTTTGGGTACAGCTAATTACAAAAGATAAGTGTTCTGCTCAAAGGGATCCACACACTTTGCTTTGAAGGTATCTTATCTGCCAGTAAGAAAAATAAAAATATTTAAATGCACCTTGGGAGGAACAGAGATTCCTGTTGGACGCCAGGTAAAGTGTGTCGGGGCACGGTTCTGCTGCAGGCACCAAGTTGTCTATTTATTTTAAGGTGTTATAAGACACTTTTGTTATTCTAACAGGATGCTAATATATTGCCACAGTCCCTGCTTACTCAGGTATGTTTAGCGTTCAGCACGGCTTTATTGTAGAATCCCATGCAGGGCTCCTCGAGAGTAGACCCCAGGAGGATCGCAGCCTTAATCTTTAGCTAGCTAGCAAGTAAGGGATTCTTCCCTTCGCCTCCCCGAAAGCAGCTTCCGTGAGTTCAGTGGAAGTTATTCTCAAGAATGTGTAAGCATGCAGGAATAAAGATGAGGGGGAGGGAATCTTTCTAATGCAGTTTAAAATTCTCGAATAACGTAACATTCCCGTAAAAAGATCGACAGACAAGTCGACGAAAGTCCCGCGTATAAGCAGCGACATCATGCCATCGCAATCCCTTCCTAAGGATATTCTATAGAAGCGGGGCTTAAAATACTCTTTGGGAAATGCAGGCAGCCGGCCCTCCCATTCGTAATCCCGCAGAACTGGGAAGTAAAAGTACGTCCCTCCTCATTCCAGCAGCAGCGGGGCCCTCTTTATCCCATCGAGTTCAAGGGAGCTTTACTCTCTAGTAAAGTGCATATAATTACTTACCCAGGAGCATCGGAACCTTCTTTGTCGACCGCCAGCCTGCACCGCTTCCTAAGGCGTAACCGAGCTCGTTCGGTTCAGCCTGCTACCAAATTCAAACGCAAGCGGCTAGTCGTTCTATGGATTCCGATTGGCTCATGCCTGTGAAACGTCATAAACAGTAGCGGGCCGCTGGTGCGTTAAGGAAGGTATTTTGGTCTAAACGCGGACCCGTCCTCCTTCCTCGCCTTAGTAGGGTCTTTGCGGACTTTTAAGTGGAGGAAAAGCGAATTTTGATGTTCTATTCGGGGCATCGTAACAGGCAGGCAGACGAACGGGCGGGCTCCCTCGCCCCTCAGGGCTATTCAGACGGGAGAGGATACATCTGTTCGAAGCAACGCGGCTTTCTACCGTTTTTGCAGCGAGCTGGCACGAAAATAGACCATGTCTGGCAACTCGCAAAGAACAAACAGAGGATGTGGTGGCATTTTGGGGAGCAAATTTAGCAAAAAGATTATGAAGTGAGGACGTGCTGCCATCGCGTAAATTTCAGATTGTAGTAGACGGGCATCTCGTAGGGTACGGCTTTGACTGTGGCTCTGAGGCAAAGGTTGATCTCCTTTCATTCGTTTCGAGACGCCTCATTTGCACCAGCAACTACAGCATAGTGACTCGAACCCAACCCTCCTTGAACTCAATGGAAATTACTCCCGACTGTGCGCATGGAGCGTGGTAGCCGAATTTTGCTTCAACGTGCCCCTGATGCCAACTGCCTGGCTTATGGGCTCGGCGCCTGCTTGTAGACGGGGCTAACTTGGACTTAAAACTTTTTGTCAACCACCAGCTGAGGTGGCTCCTGTTTCCTTAGGAGTTGGACGTGCCGCCGCTCAGGCTGCTTCGTAAATAATGCCTTTAAAAAATCCTTCAGTAGCGATGAGCGCATACGGTCAATTTTGATCCTTGCGCAAAACAAGGGTTCATGCTTTTTTGTTTGTTTTTGAAAATACACATGCTCAAAGTTACACGGTTGAAGCCTTTGTTGCTGCAGCGGCGGATATATTAGGCGTTTCCTCGGGAGACTCGCTCATAAGCCTTATAAAGGATGTCTGGTTTTTTGTTTTAGAGATAAAATGAAAAAGCAGGAGGCGGCGGCTGCGATTAGAAAGGCATCGTGGATTTAACCCTTTGCCCTTTACTCGTTTTCAGCTCAAATCGTCCGCCCTCTTCACTCCCACTCCCCAGCTGCGCTTCTTTCGAAGGGGTGGAGGATGCAGATGTTGTTCAGGTCATAATGTACAACTGGCAGGGAAGTTACTCTGGCATTGAAGTGGTGAATGGAATATGGAAAACTGAACGTCTGTGGACCTTGCGATTCCCCAGGGCTACTCCCATCGAGTACAGTTTCTCTGGGAGACTGTGTAAAAGCTGGAATGGTCCCCTTATTGAAAACAACCATGTTAAGAGACACCTGAAAGCGATGTTTTAGGATTGAACTTGCAATGGTTATAAGTAACCTCATCCAGAATAGATTGGGCAGGAATGCCAACTTCCAACTGAACCAAACCAACGAATTTCACCAATCATACATGACTAGATGGGAGGGATGTAGTAAACTATGGAACTTCACAGAAATGATTTTCCTGTACCTTTCCCAGGCAATCAATATTCAGAGAAACAGTCTGAAACACCAATTTCTGAGTGAACTAAACCAAGAAATTAGTATAGTTACATTCTTTAATGCTTTGAGGATTAGGCCCATAGGATGCAAACCTGTGTATGAGAATGTATACATACTTACGCAAATGTGGAAACAAGTACAGTAAAACCAGCCAATTTCTTTGCCAAATATTCTGAATGAATTATTTAATTTGTACTCCCACATCATCCCAGACCAGTGCAAAGCAGTTTTCCTTCCTCAGCTTGATTCTCTAATTGAGAAAGCTTTTGTTACCTCACTGGGGAAGGGGAGAGAGTTAACCCTTCCCTCCTCACTTGCAATCCCTCTTGAAAATCGCCCCTAAGCTAAGTGGCAAAGAGCTTCTAGTAATACTAAGAGACACCCACAGTTCTGTGGAATAGGTATAGGGCCCTAAGAAATAGATTCAGAGCAGAATCTTGGTGATGACCCTGCTGGAAGAGCTGTCAGAACCATGATAATTACACATAAACCATCTTCTGGAGGTAGTTCTAAGCAATAAATTGTATTACTAGGAAATGGTCTGGAATATCAACCACTGAGTGAGCCAGATCAAAAATATTCATGAGTCACATAGAAATGGATAGGTGTAATGCAGTCAGACATTAAATGTCCAAAGAAATAATTTCTGTATGTTCCAGGCAAAAACATGGTATTCTGGAAAATGGCCCAGCATTTTTGCACTAGCCAAACCAAATTTGCATGCAAAATGACAAAAAAATCTTCAAAAAACACATTCTGGTATTTGTTGTAGGCAATGTACTATATTCTGGAAAAAAAATCTGGAACAACAGTTTCCTATATAAAGCCAACAACATGTATTAGACTGAAAATTATCTATGATTTTAAATTGTTTTGGATAATAGGCATTTTAGAAGGTCTCTTTCATATACATCATTGCCATTAAAACTGACATACTCAAATAGGAAAAAAAACTGCCTGAAATGTTCAGGATTAAAAGCTTCCAAATATTTAAACTTACCACCGTCTCATGTAGATACCCAGAAAAGGATTAAGGCTACACACTGCCTTCATTTTCAGCAGTACATTAGTTGGTTTTAAAATTTAATTGATGCTGATAAATCTTATCTGGTAAGGTCAAGAGTTGAAGGTGCATTTCTGTGAAAATTTTAGAGCTGATTCTGTTATTGTAATAGACATTAAAGATGGCTATTTTAAAAAAGAGTGGCAGTATTTTTCATGGCTTCCTGCATCACATAATCATATTTAACTGGTTAATTTGCTTGGTCTGTCTCACTCAGAAGTTAGTGTTCTGGGCTGTTTTCTGGAATGTGGACTTATTGCCTGAAGTGGGTACTGGAAGTTGGTTTCCATGTAAATTTCATAGTTTATTAAATCATTCCCATCTAGTTAGGTGGGACCAGTTAATTTCATTGGTTTGACTCATTCAGAGGTTGGTGTTCTGGGTCATTTTCCCTAGATACTGTTTATTGCCCAGAAGAGGTACTGGAATGTAGTTTCTGTGGAAGATTTGTGGGTTATGCTATCCCTTCTGTTTAGTCACACATTACTCTTGAACTGGGTGGTTGACTCATTGGGAAGCCTTTTGGTCAGTTTTTGGAATGTAGACTCTTGCTTAGAGCAGGTTTCAGAAGGTAATTTCTGCGGAAGTTTCATAGCTTATTATATCATGTGTGACTGGCAAATTTGGTTTGATTAGGATCACTTAGAAGAGGTTATTCCAGGTCACTGTGTTCTGTCCTGGATGGTGTGCATGCATTTAAGGCCTAAAATCTTATTTTCCAGTCTCTTTAACACATGCCTCTGTTTCCAGCATGGTCATTTGAAATAAAAAGGACCATATTTCCAGCATGGTCATTTGAAATACCAGCCCATTTGAGTCTGTCTCGTCCTTTAAATCATCCCAACACAGATGGCCATTGAAGAATCTTCTCCTTCTGCCAGAAAAGGACAAATACACATTTTCTTTCTTTTAATGCTTCAGCATTATTGATGCCCCTTGAAACAGATACCACTTGCTCTGTGGGCTCTGTCTCTTAGTGGTGAACAGCAAAGATGGGATAGCTCCATTAAGTAGAAGAATGAAAGGTGTGCGGACTTGTATAGATAATGGAAAAAGGAGACCCCCTGCTCCGTCCCAAAAATAAAAAATCCTGTCAGTATTACTGGGAAGTTTGTGTAGCGCGGTGCTACACATACTTTGTTCACTGATGCTTATACCTACCCAAATACATATGCGGAACTGCAGCTTATGACCCAAGTCTGTTGAAACCAAGGCAAGCGCGCTGTCTCTTTTTCGGCATAGATTCAGCACTTACCAGAGGGGCATTGAAGAAGGGTTAATAGGGAACAGTGCGTCATAACGTGTGGGTCTATTTCACCCAGACCCATCCCTCCTCGCATTACTGCTATCCTTAGGGAAAAGGGACCTGAGCGGAACTAGAAGCGGTGGCGCCTGGTTGCAGGGGGGAAGCCTATTGGCGGCGCTCCTGGCGCTGCGGGCGGCAACGCGGGACTTGCGCGGCAGCGGCCTTCTCGAGCGCTGTGAGTACCGCCTCAGACCGAGTGTCCCCAACGCCGGGACAGGGGTGGTCAAGTGAGCAGTTGGGGAGGGGAGGGCTCGTGCTGTTCTCCGGATACTCAAACTTCCAGGCCCTCAATAAATCGGCTTCTCTTGTGCTCCCGCCCACGAGGAATCCTGGTTGCTAAGGAAATGGAGGTGATGGTCAGGTATTCCCCACCCTCCTCTTCGCCTCGTCCTCCAGTGTAAATGTTGGGCATTGCTTCTGTACGATTACGCTAAAGGGCTGCTTTTGGGAGACCTTGTATGCGCAAATGCAAAATTAAAAGTCACTTTAAAAATCATAGGAGACGTAGGCGGACATACAGTTGTGTCCAAAAGGTCCTTAAGCCGAAAACAATGAACTCCCCCTCCCTCAACCTCTTCCGTTTGTGTTGTCTTTTATTAATTGCATGATAGGTTTCGGGTGTGACAGTGCTGCGCAGTGTACTCAGCTGTGGGTGAGATGAAGCCGATTTGGCAATCATTTTCGAGGCTAATGAATATAAATCAGATTTAACTTAGACGTAGAAGACAGTTGACACAACCATGAATAAACCATCCCAGCCCTGCACAAAATGACCTAACTTGTAAGTTATTGATAGCATGGCTAGGTGAATAGTTGCTTCTGTCATAGCTACTGCAGTCGTTCAGTTCCTGTTGCTGCTTGTACACTTTTCTCCCTGCCCCCACAACATCTGCTTTGTCCTTGTAGTGTTTTTCCTTAGGTATCCTTTTAGTAACTTTTGTAAAAGAGAGCCTTTTTGGCTAATTAATTAAATAATAAACTTCCTTCCTGATAACAAGTGAATAACTCCACCATCTTTCCAAATATTCTTGGAGCCTCTCTTCACTTGGCCTGCCTTTGTTGACTTTGTTGGATTTGGAATTGCATTAAAATTGCATTCCTGGAGAGAGGGAGGTCTACTGGAAGAGTGCATGAGGATCCATACAACCTATAGGAAAGAATGCTGTGAGGTATGATGGGATGCTTTGTTGCTGGGATGATGTTTATCGGAGTTGTGGGAAGAAATTATTATTTGTGCTTAGTGGACACTGAATGCAGACAGCCTATCTGTTTTCTCCATGCTTGAAACGTGAAGATTTGAAGGGGAGGGAAAACCTGGAAGAATGTCACAAAGCCTAGAGGTGACTACATTGGAAGATGAACATTTTGGTCCCTCAGTACATCTTACTTCTACAGAAGACATGGGGCAACTGGAGGAGCCTTGGATGTCTCACTTGTGGTTCCATAGCTTTCCTGTGGTTCCTGGCCTGTTTTGCTCCACTGTTTCTTGGAGCAATAATTCCAACAGAGTCTTTCTTTACTGCAATAATTACAAAAGGCACTGAATATTACTGCTTTTTAAAGCATTGCTTGCCTTTTTCCCCTTTGATGCATCATAGGCTATTTTATTGGTAAACAGTTCAGTGTATTTAAGCCTGTTTTAATTATTAATATTATGCCTTTAAAATATTTATCTGTCAATAAAATAACATAAAATCACAAAAAATAGAACACAGCTAGAAGTATACCAGTGTAATATATGAGCCAGGACAAATATTACTAATAAAAATTCTTATGGAACAAGTGTGGAGCTGCCACAGAGAAGTCCCTGCCCTTGATACCTACCAATATGAATTTTGCTAATGATAGATCAGGAAGCAGGGCTACAGCTCTAACAGCTCACTTAGGTTCATAAGGAAGCAAGTGGTTCCTCAGATAACTCAGTACTAAGCTGTTTAGGAGTTTGAAACTGAACAGCAACATTTATATTAAACCTGAAAGCAAAGTACCATCAGCTGTGATTTGTGTACTATATGTTGACTGTTGTGCTTCTAAAAACATTCTGGTACTTGTGTTTGAAACAAGTTGTAGTTACTGACCTTACTGTAAGGCTGTCAAGTGTAAAGAGCATTATATAGATGTAACAATGCATGGGTGAATGATGGTAAGTTTGCCTTCTTCAGACAGGGTTGTACCTGATGAACCAATTGATGTTGGTAAAAGGTAGTCTCTCAGATGGCATACTTGCAATTCCCTGAAGAATCAGTTTGATCTAAAACCGATGTATATGTCCATCCAGATCTACAGAGTCCCAGCTGTGACAGCACCTTATATTTGTCTGAATTAAGTTTCAATTTGTTTGCTCTCATCAACATCAAAACTTTCTGCAGGCACTGATGCTGAGTGTCTCTTTCCTTTAAGAAATTAGTTTATAGAAGTGAGAGAGAGTGGAGTTCAAACATTTTGATGACACCTCCCAGCAGTTTTCTGTAGAACCTACAGGGCACGGGGGACAAGAAAGAATGCTGAGGCACACAGTGTGGTGAAGACTATGCAGTGCAATAGTATCATCGTGTGGAAAAGTCCTTCCAGAAAGGACTGGAACCATCAGAGCACCATGCTTTGAAATCCCACTGTAGTGAGATGACTTAGAGAATATAAAGTTGAATAGAGATCCAGAAGGAAAAAAGGGCCACACTCCCCCTTTCTCTGCAGGATGTTCATACTGACAGAAGTCCACTGGCACAATGGAACTTACTGTCTTGCAGTCCTCTGTGCTGCACTAGTGGATTTTCTAGCCTGGGAAGGGAGAAAGGATCTCCCTTTCAGATCTTCTGATAGAAGCAGAAGAGTCTACAGTGTCTCCATCCATGGAGTCTACAGTGGAGTGCATATAAACCAATGCATTTGTAAAAGGCATGGCAAACTCATTACCATGGATTTTTTTATTTTTATTTTTTTATTTTTATTATTTTATTAAAACATTTTTATGCCGCCCCATTCACCGAAGCCTCGGGGTGGCTTACAACAATAAATTAAAACATCATAAATAACATTTTAAAATATATACATTAAAATAAAATACAAATATACAATATAAAATAAGCCGCCCTGGCCCGATAAAATTCAATAATATTAACATTTAAAATGCTGCTTAAATAAAAAGGTCTTCGCCTGGCGCCGAAAAACAAATAACGACGGTGCCAGGCGGGCCTCTCTGGGGAGCGCATTCCATAACTTAGGCACCACCGCTGAGAAAGCCCTCCTCCGAGTAACCACCCTCCTAACTTCTTTCACGGAGGGCTCCCGGGGAAGGGCCTCTCCCGCCGATCTCGGGGCGGCTGGGCATATATGGATGTAAGCGCTCCTTCAGGTTTGTCAGGAGATTCCGATTTTCTGGATATGAATGCAGTAAACCTCTTAACTGCTTGAAAAAATCTGCTTGCTAACACCATGTGGATGTTATAGTGGTGGCAAAATGTGTGCAGTGAATCATAGTTGAGTGGTAAACTACATGCCTTGCATGTAGAAGGTACCAGGATCAATCCTCAGCATCTCTAGATAGGACCGCAAAAATTCCAACCTGAAACCTTGGAAAGCTGGTGCCAGTCCGTGTTGACAATACTGGGTTAGATGGACCAGTGGTCTTGACTCAGCTTTTTGTGAGGCTGCTTCCTATGTTACCGAACCACAGAGAAGCCCCAATATGGGATCCACCCTGTATTTGTTTGGTTTTATCATACTGTCTCCTTGTCTGTGCTCTCTAGCTGGTTATCCCCATGTTTAATTCTCATTCCAAAGAGAGACAAGAAGGTTGGCAGGATCACCAACAGTATCTATAGAAAAATTCTTCATAGGTGCCAGGACACCATCCTTAAAGAAATCACTAGACTTAAGTGCTCTAAGTATCAGTTGGATTGTGACCAAAACAATTTTTTGTTTTAATTATTCCTTTCTATTTGATATTTTCTATTTAGGAGAAATTATTTGAATTAATTGTGTCCTAGTCTGGCTTTTTCAAAAAGGACCTCTGTTCATGCAAGTTGTCTGATTGCTCTTGATTTGCACTGTCCCATGGCAGCTCCTTGCCCCACATCCTAGGCTTTTCTTTAGGGTCTTAGAAGTGGATTTGGGGGGAGGAAGGCTCAGGTAATTCCTTTTGAATAGGTCCTTGTGTTTGTGCTTCATTGGCTGCAACCCAAGGATTTCAGAAGAGGTTTGAAATGAAAAAAGTACAATTTATGGTTGAAAAATTGTATCTCTTTTCAAGAACAGTCATGTATAATAGGAATGATGTGTATGGGAAACAAGGATGTAAACAGTTAAAAGGCAATTATTTTACAGTTTTAAGTCAGTGCAGAACCTCTGGCCCATGGGCCTTGCTTGGTTCTCCAAGTAGCCTTCTGTGCCTCTGAGGTTCCACAGATGGTTAAGACTGCTTTCTCCTTATTGCTGTGATTTGGTGATTTCTTGCCTTATGGCTATAAAGTTTAGTCTAATGGAGACATTAGAAATTGTAGAATGCAATAATGTTTTTAATGACATATGTCACATAGCATCATACAATATTTACAATGTAATCCCATATGTGTTTATGCACTGAATTGAAGAGTACATATTCCCAGATAAGTTAGGACTGTAGCTTGGTGGTACTAAAATATTTTTATTGTAAAACAATTGCTGTTGGTTTCATTATAGGTCTCCTTTCTTCTTATTATTTTGCATTTATATATTGCCCCTTGTCTTCTTGTGAAGAACCCAAAGCAGCTTACATAGCTCCATTTTATCCTCACAACAACCCTGGGTGATAGGTTAAGCTGAGAGTGAGTGACTGGGCCAAAGTCACCCAGTGAGTTTGATGGATGAACAGGGACTAGAGCTCAGATCTCTCAGGTTTCCAGTCCAACAGTTAAAACACTACATTACATGGGCTCTTCTGGTATTCTACATATCAATTTGAACATGCTACATTTGACTTGTGGTACATTTTTCTTTTACAGGTTGGCTTATTTGTTGTTGTTTTTTAAAGACTTGCACCCTGTCCTTCAATCAAGCTTATCTACAACATGTATCAACTTTCATATTCATGTAAGATCTGCAAAAAAAATGTTTTTCACAATGTAATTAGATCCAGTGCAAATTGCTTAGATACATGGGTCAGAAAAATCCACTCTTCATTAGTAAACAAAGGTGGAGCTGGAGAAAAATCATTGCATTCGTATGATGATGAAAATGTAAACTACAAAATAGACGATGAAGATGGTCAAGAATTGCACATACCTGTTATGCTGACAGAAGTTACTGATTTTTTAGCACCTCGGAAGGGACAGGTAAGCTTGAATTTCTTTTCAAAACAGGTAATATGTTTCTTAGAAGTTATTTGTTAGAGTTCTAAGGTAATAAATCATAGGCAACTAATGTTTTTTAACATCTGTTGAGGTTCTTATTGTACTGGACTGATTTGTGATATTAAAGTCTTATGTTTGCATTAATAATGCTGCATATATTGGTTCATTTTTATAAGGAACAGATTAAATGGAAAACAACCTTGAGCTTAATTTTGAGTGAAGCCTGGGATGTGATGTGATATGTAAGTGAAAGCAGCTCCAGAAAATTCAGTATGGTCAAAGTATCAAACATTGCTAAAAGTCCAGCATGATTAACAGGGAAGCTTTTTTAACCTAGGGTGAGGAAAGAGATCATGCAGTTGGCTTTTAAAGCATCTCCTGCTGTGTCCAAGTTGGAAACTGGCTTGAAATTGATAAAGGATGAAATGTTTTGTTACCCAGGAATGTATGGAGATGTTCAGTTACTGCATGTCCTGAAAAAGAAGAATAGGAATGGTCCTACACTATCCAGTCCCTTTGAAGTATTTGATTATTTTAAAGTAGGCAGATCACTGCCTCTTAGTACTGGGAAAATCCTACCCTCTTCCTGGGATGTGCTAATTATCTGAATCAGCTGCCCATCAATTTCTTCTTTGCTGTCTTTCACTGGCCGGAAAGTGCAACCATCCTAATTTCCTATGGTGCATCTCATAGCACTTGTCCACTTCCTTGAAGAAGAACATATCAAGTTGGTTGAAGCAACTGCAACCATCAATTGATTCTGAAACCCCCAGTGTGATTTGGCACTAACAGTGGCTTCTGAGAAACTCAGAAAACCACAATGATTTGTTACTGAGAACAACAAATAGTTCCATCTTCTAGTAGGCACATCTTGGGTTATTATAACCCCCATGCCAGATGGAAGGCCTCAGCTGGACTCAATTTCACTGATGCAATATTGGTGAAGAAGAAAGATGACACGGCGGCCAGAGCTGAATAGGTTCCTTGGTATACCTTGAAACTGAAGGAAAGGAAGCAAGCCAGATGTCAGCTGTTACACAATTGCAGACAGGCTTGTGTTGACTCTAACAAAGCATGGTTATTAAACCTGTTATCAAGCCTGCTCTACAAGTAAAGGTGGCAAAAAATAAGTTCTTTTCCACACACTTTGCATCTTCACATTGTTGTTTGACAGCGTGCTTTTGGGTGATAAAGAGATTGTTTTCATCACTTTGAAGGTAAAATTGCAAGTATCCAGCATGACTTGGACTGCAGTATTAGTGCAGTCCCATTAACCTCTCTACTGGAAGGGATTCTGTGGTTGAAGCAAGAAGATGCAGACAAATTGTTTGGATGATTTCAGTCAATGACTTGTATGCTTGACTCTTGCCCTTCTTGGCTTATTACATCTAATAAGGTGGGAAATGGCCAGTTGGTACAGAAGGCTATAACTTCTTGAGAGAGTGAGCAGTACCAGTCTCTTTGAACAGTTATCAAGTTGCTCTTGAAGAAAGCAACCTAGACCTAGAATCAGAAGGCCTGTACAATCTGATTGGTAACATCTATTTCTTGAGCAAAGTACGCAACCATATGGCTTCAGATCAACCTGCATTCCCTCCTGGATTAAGTAAATTTTCAGGTACCTAGGTACCAGGAACAACTTTTATCAGTTGAGGTTGATATACCACAGGAGTCCTCAAACTTTTTCAATAGGGGGCCAGTTGAAAGGCTGCGGTAACCATTGCGGGCTGTTGAGATGCCAGCGGGCGCGCGTGCGTGGCAGCATCGGGCGCACGTGGCAGTGGCTCGCTCGCTCGCTCAGGGATCTCCCAGTGAGTCCAAAACCATCTCCGAGCAAGCCACCACCTCCCCGTCTGTGCTACGGGGCAGCGGCGGCTTGCTCACTCGGAGACCAAAATTATGTAGAAATAAGAACTTTAAGTAGGGATATGGAACACTGGATGTCAAAGGTGTAAAAAAGGTTATAGAAGAATGATGGGGTCTACAATGAACTTGATATTGTAGGTGCTATATATTTGGCTAACAGAAAGTTTGCATGTAAACTTTCTTTTTTGTGGGCATTCAGACAGCAAGCCTGGCCATGTATGTACGAAAAAGTAATGTATCTTCCTCAATAAGTTACCTTGTAAAATCTTGAATTGTTATTGCATGATAATGTATTAGAGCAAGTTCCATGGATTTCAGTGAGATTATGATGAATCATAACTATATTGCTTGTTTATTGTTGCAATGATAAACCATCCTATTTGTGTCTACTTAGAAGTAAGTCTCAAACTAAAAACCAGATATGCAATGCACCAGAGTCCTAAACTGGTTATAGGCCAAGATAAACAGATGAGACTATGAAGCTTGTTTGGAGACCTATAAGATTAGTGGGCACATAGATTAGTGGGCACATATAGGTTTGTAGCCTAAGTCTCACAATATGTGCAGATTTCATGGTGAAAGCATCTGTAGAAATACTTAGAAACACAAACACACACACACTTGAATAACATGGGATTTGAGCATCTTGTTTCTTGGGATGGATGAAATTTCCGTTTACTTCTTGGTTCAGTGTTACTGTATACCACCACAATCTTATGTGTGCCTATGCAGAAGTAAAATTCAGTGGAGTTCAATGGAATGTATTCCAAGGTAAGTGTGAAAAGGATTTCAGGCTAAGCTGCAAAAACTTCTCTTTACAAATAGTTAATTGTTAACAAAGCAAATTGTGGGATTCCAACTGGCAAAAGATCACCAGCATTTTAATTACATCTATCCTTTAAACACAAATAATGTCATTATTTTAAAAATGAAGTAGTATTATTTCCTTCAATTTCTTTTCATTGTCTGGTATTTATAGCATTCAGGAATGTTGCTTTCATTCTTTGAAATTTAAACTTAAAGGGATACTTAAATGTCTGTGGTCAAAAGTCACCGATTATGGTCAGGTCAGAATTGTTGCACTTTAAAGTATCTTATGGCCACTTTGCGGTATGGTTTCAGGATGACCGTTAGCTGAGAGACTGCTAGTTTGCAACTTTGAATGTTACTTCATAACCACAAATGGCTGCTGCTTTTGCACTCTAGGTAAATGATAGTATCTTTATTACCCACTTGTAGATTTTTCTTACGCCTTTTTCCAATATGGTCCTACTGCTGTGACAATGTAATAGGAAAGCTGATGCTACTTTTCCATTGCCATTTAATCATGCTACCTTAGGAATGGTTATAGTGATTTCCAAATGGAAGGGAGTGTATGTGGATAGAGTTGCGCCACCAGCCATTATGTTGAGCAAAATGTTGCATTATTGATATTATTTGGCCAGAGTTGAGATCTTAGGTGAATGGTCATCATTCTTGCCAGTTATAGTTGCTTGCAGCAGTTCTTGCCCTTTGACTAGGATATGAACACGTCAGTAGAACAAAGGTTTTACTAAATGTAAAATGATTCTTTTATATCAGAGAGAGGTGGAGCTTGCAAGTTTCATCCATTTCTTCACCCCATCTAGTCTAGTTTAGTACAGTGTTCCCTAGGTAGAGAAGCGGCTTTATGTACATTGGCCCTGAATAATCACAGAACAGCATTTGGGCCGGAGGTTGATAAAGGTTGCATTGTCTAAGAAAATGAGGGGAGGGAGGATTCCTGACTGGTTCAGATGATGGGAGATATCTAATACAAAGATTATCCTATCCTCATTCTTCTTGCTTCTTACCTGTGAGAAAACTGTCACTTAGTGATAAGGGATGGTTTTCCAGGCAAACTGTTAAGTATCTTTCCATTGCTTTTGAACACTTTTTCTTGAATTCCTTTTGTGCGGTATTCTCCTAAGTGCATTGTATAAATGAGTCACTTCCTTTTTAGTACATTTTCTTTTCAATGAAATGCCTGTTGCAATAAATCTGCAGAAACTTATTTTCTGTAAAACTTGTTGTATTAGCTAACTATCATTTTAAAGTATTTTTGGGTATTTCAGTTCATGAAAGGTTTTGCACTGATATGTCCATAAATGTTATAAATTACGCAAAAGGTCACAGAACATGACCTTTAATACTCCATGTCTAGATTAGTGCCTCTTCGTCACTTTCAGTCATCTGGAAGGTCCTATTGCTAAATTTTTGCAGGACATTTATTTTTATTTTTTGCTGTGATAACAGAAAGTAATGGGAGAAGTAAATAAGTGTAGGAGGGCTGCAAAATAATTGATGAAGTGTAGGCGTGCTGAGACTGAAAAAGGGCTGGCAACATTGGTCTTACAATTGTACAGCCTGTACAATGAGATGCTTATATTGAAGACTCTTGACCATTATTTATTTCTCCCCCAGTGTTGCTGTTAACAGAATGACTCGTTTCTCTGGGAGGAAACTACATGTGGTCCTTAGTCACATGTAGTTTCTTCTTGACATTTTGTTTGCATTTACAAAATGCTGCTGGGGCAGCTGCAGTCTTCCACAAAAGACCAAAAGGGGTGGGGAAAGTTTCTTAGATCTTTCCCCTAATGGCATCCATTTTGGTGAAAATTACTTCCACTCCCAAAGCTGTTCCTACTGCACAGGAGAAAAAAATACAGGTAGCAATCTCTCCCCACCCCTTTCAGGAGAAGAAATGGAACTAGGGATCTTTGGCAGCTTCTTTCTCCAGATCTTGTATTGCAGGCAAGCAGAAAAGCCTCACATCTGGTCATTTGCTTTCGTATATACTTCCCTTTGCTTTCTCCCAACTGGGTAATAAGTTCTAACTTTCTGAAAGCACCAGTCATCTGTGAAGCAAAACCGAAGACTGGAAGGAGCAGCAAATGCAGTGGCAGACACATTATCTTCTACTGTGTTCCGTATCTCCTGGACTGTGATGAAACTCCAAAATTTGGATACCATTGCTGCAGTACATAGACTGTATTCCAGATGTGCTTCTAATTGAACTAGAGAGTGTGTATGAATACTATACACTGCAAGAACTTTTGGGAGTTCCAGAATGAATTATCAGTTGACATATCTTTATC